CATATGTAACAAACCTGCACGTTATGCACATGTACCCTAGAACTTAAAGTATAATAATAATAAAAAATAATAAAAATTTAAAAAAAAAATGTTTTGTAGTCACATACCTAGTTAGCAAAATCGAGACTAAAACTAGATCTTAGGTCTCCAGATCTGATCATATGGCCTGTGTAGCTCTGTATTTCTTCAATTTACAAGTCTTAAAACATGAGATTTGGGATTCTGGGACTATTATTATCATCTTAGTCTATCAGCCAACTCTTCTAGACTTTGGCACTGTCTGGGGGACATGCTCTGACACAAAGTCTGCACCCGTGCTTCTGCCCTCATGGGGCTCGCACTCCCTGCTCCAGTCTTACCTCAGTTCCCTCCGCTGGCCAGATTAACTGCTTCCTAGAAGTTAACATAGATTTGTACTGTAACACTCATCCCATTGTATTTGAGTGTGTGTGTGTGTATGTATGTGTGTATGTACGCTTGTGTGCATAATGGCTATTTCTGCTGGTCAATAATGAGTATCTGAAGTGTTTGAACTATATCTATACGTTTCTAAGTGAAATCATCTAAATTTCCTCATTTTCTTGTTTTAATTTATTTTGTCTAAAAACTACTGAAACTTAGAGGCTATTTAAATAGCTAAGCACTCAAGATGGTTTTGCTGCAGAGAAAGTTCAGCCTTATTTGCTGTTGGCTTCAGAACCAAGGGGATGCTGGGTAAAAAATCTAAGATTATCTGGAATTCCTTCCTTTCCTTTTCTTTTTCATTTCCTTTCTTCTTCCTTTCCTTTTCTTCTTCCCTTTCCTTCCCTCAAGGGCCAGAAATTTCCCAACACATTATTTAAGTGGCTAATTCGTAATGCGTATATAGATATGTACACACACGCGCGCACGTATATACATATGTATATATATACACACACATATATATGTAGTCATTGTATATATCTCTAAGTAAATGTTTTTTATACATTTTGAAAAAGGACCAGAGGTAAAGAGCCAATTTTACCACTGGGGTGAGTTTTTTTGTTAGGATCATAATTAATTTTGGCTAGGTGCGGTGGTTCACACCTGTAATCCCAGCACCTTGGGATGCCAAGGCGGGAGGATCACGAGGTCAGGAGTTCGCAACCAGCCTGGCCAATATGGTGAAACCCTGTCTCTACTAAAGATACAAAAATTAGCTGGGCGTGGTGGCGCATGCCCATAATCCCAGCTACTTGGAAGGCAGAAGCAGGAGAATTGCTTGAACCCGGGAGACAGAGGTTGCAATGAGCTGAGATTGAGTCACTGCTCTCCAGCCTGGGCAACAGAGCGAAGGAATCTTTAGTCCAAGGAGTTCAAGTGTCACAGGAGTCTGGGTCTCTGAGGGATGTTCTTCAGCCTCCCAGCCTAGCTCCTCCAGGAAGTCAACAAAACAGTACTTTACACCTGTAATTAAAGCCAGTGCAGTCACATAACACATGTTTGTTTGTTTGTATTCTTTTTTTTAAGATGGAGTCTCATTCTGTCACCCAGGCTGGAGTGCAGTGGTGCGATCTCAGTTCACTGCAACCTCCGCCTCCCGGGTTCAAGCAATTCTCTGCCTCGGCCTCCCGAGTAGCAGGGATTATAGGCGCCCGTCACCACGCCTGGCTAATTTTTGTATTTTCAGTAGAGATGGGGTTTCACCATCTTGGCCAGGCTGGTCTTGAACTCCTGACCTCGTGATCCACCCGCCTCAGCCTCCCAAAGTGCTGGGATAACAGGCGTGAGCCACCGCGCCTGGCCATGTTTTGTTTTTTGAACAGATCCAAAGAACTTTACATCAAATGGATTTTCATTCCGTTCACCAAGCCTGTCTTCTTTTTCTCTCCAGCTTCATGAGAAGTTTGACCTTCTCAAGCGGACACACCAAGAAGAAAAGAAGAAAGTGGAAGACAAGAAGAAGGAGCTTGAGGAGGAGGTGAACAACTTCCAGAAGAAGAAAGCAGCGGCTCAGTTGCTACAGTCCCAGGCCCAGCAATCTGGGGCCCAGCAAACCAAGAAAGACAAGGATAAGAAAAAGTAAGCAGGTGTCACCCCCATGTATTGGGGACCTCTAACAGTTTATTCCTCTTGCATGTCTCTACTTTTCCCATTTACAGACTGGAAACTGGTCTTTTACCAGAAAGATAAAAGCAAGTATTTTCTCTACAGTGCAGGGAAGATGATGAAGGTTTTTAAAATATTTTTAAAAGGTACACAAAGATTAATTTATAAAACTTGACCACATTGACCGAGCAATCAGGCCTGGAGGAACCTGTTGTCTCCAGTAGCATCTTCCACACCAACACTAGGAGTCTCGAAGAAGACAGGTTGATGTCTCTTCAGCACCCTCTGAAGACAATTCTCATGACTCTTGATAGAGAGCATCTTAAAATCACAGTTGTTAAAATTATTTTCCTATTCTGTGTTGTAAGACTTCGAAAGCCAGTCACTGAAAGTCTCGTTCCCAAAATGAAACATTTGGAAGAGCTGCTAGTGGTCACTAGTTTCCTCTAAATTCAGTATGATGAATTGTTTTATTGTGAAATGGGATCCAAATGCCTATCCAGTTGACACCTCTGCCAACCCTCAAGCCAAACCTAAACCCACTCATAAAAGGTTTTTTAAATAGGGTCTTAATGTCATGTGCCAAAAGGTCAGATTCTGCTCTTGAGTTGGTTACTTCCTATGATACTCCAGTAGCAGCTGCCTGAAACCAGTGGGAGATTTAGCCCTGCCTTGACACTCTCCTGTGATTTGAAGCTGTCCTTTGAATCACATTAAGCCTAGTGTTACGTTACTAGCTATCGGTTTTGACAGGAAGCAGTATGGTAAGAATACCACTAAGGAAAACCTTTGTGGTATCTCAGTGGCAGATATGCAGATGCCGCCCTCCTTTGTCTAATGTGCGGTGCTTTTAGGGCAGCTATTTAAAGCAACTCAGAACTTGTTTCAGGAAGTCCTGCTCTTTCGCCTTACATGCCGAGGTTCTAGGGAAAAAGCTGACCATAAGTAAACAAACACATTGATACTCAAGCACATAAAGAATTACATTCTTTAAACATAGAGTACACAGGATCAAGTCTCTGCACAGTAACTGAGATGTGTTATAGGGAAGAGTGAGCACAGTGCTGTTGTCCACTTAGTCTTGATGAATGTGCAGTAGGCTCACCCCTAAGAAATCTCATGTTGCCTGCAGTAAAAATAAAAATGGACTGCTACAATGACATACTGAGAGAGTTTTAAATCATGCTTTACCAACTTTAACATTCCGAGCTCTGAGACAGCAGAAAATGTATCACCAGAGCAAGGGAGGAGGCAAATGTTCTGAACAATAGTAGAAGTGGTTGTGATTTTATTTGGAGTTGGCACAGATCCAAGTGACCAAAGGAGTTCAAGGCCCAAAATTTAGTTATGCTGGATTAATTCTGAGAGTAACAACCACATAGATTATAATCTAGTTTAAGAAAACCCTTTGTAGCTATGTGTGTTGGGAGAGCCTCTAGCACTCATGGTGATGTTCCCCATGCAGAGACTCAGAGATTACAGTGACTCTTCCAGTGAAGACAGATGAAAGCCATTTGGCATTGTACCTTTGTTAATCCAGACCAACCAAGGATATAGGGGGGTGTGTGTGTGTGTGTGTGTGTGTGTGTGTGTGTGTGTGTGTGTGTGTGTGTACGCACACATACATCTATAGGTATGAATGAGACAAAAAGCTGCTGACTTATAGCTTAGGAAACCCAAAGTCAAGTTTGTCTTTTCACCCTGAAGCACTCAGTGCATAAAGGTTTGAGTTTTAAAACTTAAGAATGTTTCTAAAAGACCAGCAATGTTAAAAGAGTATTTCGTGTATACTAGACGTGCCTTTAAGCAATAAAAATTCCAAGAACTGATCATTATTGTGCCTCCATTTTAAAAAAGTTTATTTAGTAACAAACTTCCCAGTGTAGGGAGGTTTTTCCTTGCCCTTTTGGACATGTTAGGTTATTTTCTTCCTATCCTTACCAATGTGTAATGCTTTCAAAGTTTCTGTGAAGCCTGTGTGGATTCTATTTTAGCTTATTTGTGTATTCTCATTTATTTTGAAGGATATTATACTCAATTTGGTTCAGAGTAGTAACCAGGTTTTGCTCCTGACAATGGCACATATTGTTTGTGTAACTTTTTCTAGGTCCTTACCCTTTTCCACACTTTGCATTTGTACAGTGAAAGCAACTGCCAGTGGAGGCCTGAAGTGTCAAAGTAAAACAAACAAACAAACAAACAAAACTCACACCTTTTACTGCCAGAGGCAGTGGACTGCGTTGGTTAGAGGGACCGCAGAAAGACAGTGGCCAGGCTGGATAGGGCAGCACTCTGAAAAGAGCTGGGAAGATGCCTCCTGGCATAGCTGGAGCAGATGTAGGAGTTACCGTTAGGAGCTGGCTTTGTTGTAGGTAGAAAAGGAAAAGGCAGATGCTTACTTATTTACCTGCTGTGTTTCCACCTCAAAGCCTAACTTAGTTTTTCTAATAGTTTTAAATTCTCTTTTTTCTATTCTAATGACACGCTCCTTTTTTAATGTAGGTAAGGCTTTATACTTCTCCTTGACCTGTAGTGGCATGAGAGTGTATAACATTTCCTAAGATGACAGGCAAAGTAGAACTAACCCTGGCACTGCCATTAGCTGGCCCCACCTTCTGCCATCTCTGGCCACCAAGTCACTTTCCTTGTTTGCGGCTGTACCACAGTGGTGGGACTGCGCGGGGGTAAGTTGGTCAGTGGACAGTGTTTCCCTTTTCTGAAAACTGTCTGCACAATTGCCAGCAGCCATTTGCTGGTTAAGCTGCATCTATCCCAAAAGAGAGTTTTAAAATTCATCATTCTAAAACCATACTTGTTTACCCAACCATCCACTCATCTTTTAAAAAAAAAAAAACTGTTTTGATTCTTGCTAAGGAATAAAGTTGCATGTTTTGCACTTGCCTAAAATTAGACACATGGGCCGTGGGTTTGGCATTGCTTTGTACCTAGAAGAGGGGGAAAGCTCCTGGCATTGCTGTATCTGTAACCATTACAGTGATTGTCTTTTTTCCCCCTACCCAACTAGATTAATAGCATGTCCTCCATTCACTATGTAATTTCAATCCCTAAACTGCGTTAGACCTTTTCTTCAAGTCAATTGTACAAAGGCATTTATTGTATATTTATTCTCTGACGCCTTCAGCAGCTCAGAAGTGGAAGATGAAGCTCCTATTCAGTACTAATGGGACACCCAAACCTAATAGATAATGGTTTTGTGTTATTTGAGAAAACAAAAGCTAAACAGTAAATCCTCCCACTAGACATGCAGTGGTTTCAAGAAGTCACTTGTGAATTCTAAATTACATACAAATGGAAACTAACCGTATGTCTTTAATTCAGTATTAAATTTTGCTTTTGCTTGTCATGTAGAGTAGCCTTCTCAAATTTTTGGTTTTAATTTCTGTCAATTCCATAATCATTGCATGAGCATTCACCATCGCTGAATGCTGGTGCTGTCGCTCCTAATTTTCCTTTCTTTTTAATTTATTATTATTTCTAACTTTTTTGTTTTGTTTTTTAACTTGCAGTGCAAGCTTCACATAAAGCCTGGCAAGCCAAGGATGTTCCCGCATTCACCTGCTTTTGCAGTAATATCGTATCTCTGCCATGTGTGTTCTTTATTTTTATTTTTATTTTTATTTTTTTTTACCCTTCTTCAAACACCAGTAACTATTATTAACTCGTTTGCTGAATGTTGTTGGGTGGTAGAAAATGATAGAACAAGGGAATAACCGCAAATGCTCTGTGCAGCTGGACTCTGTTTCCGGAAAGTAAATGATTTGCTTTTTATGCCTGTTCTGAATGGCAGCACGAAGCAGGCCTGTTACTTGTATGTCGCTTTGGACAGAGGAAAGTGGGGTAAAATGCTACCTGTACGTCTGACATGAAAACTTCTCACCGCCTCAGCAGCTGAACTAAAAACCTGAATAGCCATGACAAGAGTTTGCATTTTCTTGATGATTCATCTCCATGAGTGCACAATCCCTGAACTCACTGTCTTTTCTCCACACTTGTCCCAAGCCAAGGTAGATTTGTATGTAGACAGACGGGTGAGCAAGCATTATATTTTATTTTTACACTTGCATGACATTTTCATTTTCGTCAGTAACATTATTTGACCTGAGCTTGTGGGTCTGTTCAGACTGTCTCCTCTCATGGTTTGAAACCGCATCTGAATGCCTGCCTTCAAATCCTGGCCAAGTTGGAGTAGAGTAGACAGGCCTGAGAAAACTATGATTATGTTCACATTTACTGGTGCATCCTTGATCCTCTCACAGATAGACGTCTTAAAGGTTGAATCATATAACATTGGTTAGTAGAAGAACCTTCTACTAAGGATGATGGGCTTTCTACAACCTGCTTACCACTAACAGTAAGGAATCTTTCATAAACACACAGTTTATGAAACACACAGTTTGTTCCCAGTGGGCTTAGAGGGAGGCCCTGATGACTGATTCCAGGATACTTGTACTTCTAATAAAATTTTTCCCTAATCATGAGAAAATTTCCACAGATACTTCCCTTTGAAAATTTGCTATAAACTCTGTATCATTGGTAGCACGAATTTGAGGGAGACCTTGTCAACTCTAAGGTGGAAATAGGAAGGACCACAACATGACCCGTAAGTGAAGAAGGTAGACATTTCCTATTCAGCTTCCTTGCTTAGTCTCCTTTCAGTATTTGGCAATAAAAGAGAGAAGAAATAGAACAACTGAAGTCTCAAATCATTGTCTGGAGTATTCCTCACCTTGGCTAGCTCCACCTGCTCTTTGTCTAAGGCCCTTGCCTCATCAGGGATTGGAGCGGACCCACACGCCAGAACCTATCCTGCATGCCTAATTTGTATGGAAAAGTGCATATTTCATCTCTTTTCTATACTGTTCCTTTCTGATGCTTATCTTTTCATCTGTGTGATTGTTTTTTTCCCCTCTACTAACAAGATCCTCCCAGCTTTCTCTCTACATGTAGAAAGGATAACATTGCTCATGAACCCACTTCCCCTCCACATTTTCCTCACTGGTTAGAGATTAAGTAAATAGGATAGAATATGCTGCATCTCCCCTGACACACACTTTCTTTTTAAAATGAACAAGTCTCTATTTTGATTTCAGCCAAGACTTTTTCTCCTTCTCTTTGTCCTCAGCCATACTTAGAGGAAAGAAGGAATGGTCTTCCATGAACTGATTATGCTTAATTAAGCAAAGTAAGGAAATTAGTTTCGTGGAAGCCTAAACAAAGCTGGAATAGAAGCTACACACTAGACACAGCAGCAGTCATAGTCTTCACACGTTTAGGAGCTACTGGACCAACATCCTTGTTTTTGCTTCTGTTTTTTTTAAATAAATCTAGTCTGGAGCTAACTGTGGAGCAGCTGAATAGTAGCTGGCATGTTGATTCAAACCATGGGCTGAATTTGCTCATAGGCTGTGCATCGGACAAAAGCTTGAATATTTGTGTTGTATGCTTGTTCCAACCACTGCTTGTGTGAGCATTTTTGTGGCTCGTACAGAAAGTACACTTTTAAATTGTTTCTTGCATCACTAAAATTTTTTTTAAATAAGCATAACAGCGAAAGGCATCCAGCTGACTTTTTGATTCCAAGATTGTTGGTTGGATTAACTTTTTTGCATTAAAATTTTCCCAGCAAAATAAATCATATGGCGAGTCAGAGAATAAAAAGTCAAAAGAAACAAATAGAAGCTTTTTTTTTTTTTTTTAATGTATTGCTTCTGAACTTTTTCCTGCCACTGCTCCCCGGCCCTGTTTAGTTTGTTATTGCTGCTCTTCTTTTTTCTTTCTGTATCTATGCCTTTTTTCACAGTAGTCCTTGGCTCTGCACGGAATAAATGATACCCTCAAATCTAATTGGATGTGCTTTCGCCTTTGCATGTAAGTACAGTAGTAAGAAACCTTTGAGATCTTTCTGACTTTTCAAAATTAGAGAAAGCAAGTGGGATGGATGGATTTTTTTTTCTTCTCAGGGGGGGCAGGAAGGTAATGGTTTGAGTAGCCTTTGTTTTTGTTTTGTAAAAAAAAAAACTAAATATATATAAAAGGCCACATTTATATTTTTTTTCACAAGAACCACATAATAAATTCCACTTCTTGACCTGAATTTGGAAATCCGAAATTACCAATCCAGGCCAGTTGTGGTGGCTCATACCTGTAATCTCAGCACTTTGAGAGGCTGAGGTGGGCAGATCACTTGAGGCCTGTAATCCCAGCACTTTGAGAGGCCGAGGCAGGCGGATCACGAGGTCAGGAGATCAAGACCATCCTGGCCAACATAGTGAAACCCCGTCTCTACAAAAAATACAAAAATATAGCCAGGCGTGGTGGCGTGTGCCTGTAGTCCCAGCTACCTGGGAGGCTAAGGCAGGAGAATTGCTTGAACTTGGGAGATGGAGGTTGCAGTGAGCCAAGACTGCGCCACTGCATTCCAACCTGGGTGATGGAGTGAGACTCTCCAAAGAAAAAAAAAAATTATTAATCCCTGCCTGTGCTCTACATAGCCTCATGGGCATCATTGGATAGTTCAGAGGGCCCTTGATTCCGGCAAGGCAAGTAAATCCAGAATGAGAAATTACTATCTTCTACTAGAGAAAACCAAGAGAAAAAATTTTATGCTAGGATGCCTTTATGACAACTTAATTTTTTTATCTTAGTCCAGTGGTCTCTCCCTGGTGCTAACTGCTGACAGTGGCCACCTCTTTTTTTGGGGGTGAGGGGCCTACATAACTCTAGCTGGCCTTCCCTCACATCTTTTGTTAAAACATAATGGCCATCTTTTTGCTTCTTCTGAACTTTAGATCTCCATAACACATGTACTGTAGAATGTGATGGAGAAGCATTGATGAGAATTTATGGGCAGTTCAGACTGTGTTTTCCCAACTTAGGCTCTTTATAAATTGGTTAAGGTTTTCTCCTTTTAAGGGGCATTTCAACAATGGGAATTATTTAATGTAACAGTGGGCACAGATTACTTATCTTCCTTCTCTGCTTTGTGACTCACCAGCAGTAACACACACTCTCCACATCTTGTGCACCTCAAATGAACAGACTTGGTTTCCTTGCTTTCTTGACATTTCCATGACTGTTTCACATACAAACTATTGAGTGAGGTTTTTCAGCTGTTACCGACCCACGTCCTACTGTCTCTTTGTGGTCCTGCAAAAACTGTCCATTCCCACCCCTTTGCTTTGCCATTTGCAAGTGTCTGGAATTGTCAAGTCTGAGCTTTGAAAAGTCCTGGTTCCACTGACAGGACACATTCGTTAGTTGGAATTAAGACCTACAAAGTCTAGTTTGTATGTAGGTATGAAGGGAATTTTTTAAATAAATTGAAAAGCTGTGAACAGCAGTAGAACTTTGTCTATTTCTTAATTTTAAAATATGCTGATATGCCTTAAACTGTAGTTGTAGATCCTTGTCATTTTGCTGTTTGAAAATAACCAATGTGTTTTCTAAAACTGTTGTGTAATCTACTTTCAGTGTTAATGCAGAATTGTCATATATGTAAGCTGCATGTTAGACATTTGTCTTTTTTTAAAAACTAAAGTAATTGTATTGATGTGAAGCATATCATTTTTTCAAATATGAAAGTAATCACTTAGCAACATGCTTGGTAATTTGGCATCTGTTAAGGTAGGAGAGTGGTGAACAGGTAATCTATGCATATATCACTAGTGCCAAGACATAAAGCGGGGGAAAATATATTTTTACCCAAACATTGTTTGTGTGCCCTTTTTTGTGAGTTCTTTTTAGTCGCTGCTTGGTTTGCATATGCACACGTGCTTACTGGATAAAAGAAACAAGGATAAGAGTCTCATGCTTTCCTGCCTTGTGTGGTGGACTTCAAATGGCTGCTGTCTGGGTTACACCAGTTTCTCAAAGATACTTGCCATGTGGTGTCCTGTACTTCACATATCATGTTATCACTTTTTTTCCCCCATACCTGTCCCTGTCCACCCTGCCAATTCATGTGCCTTGGTGCCCAGCTGAGGCATCGTCTTCTTCACTGGCCTCCTCTTCCCTGCTGCTGCTCACCCTCCCGTGGAGCTCAAGGAAGTCACCCTGTTAACTGACACACTGCTGTTCTTTCACAGCTTGTTGTAGAGAAGCTCCTTTTTTTCTTAAGCCATTAAGAATCAAATTTGAATCTGAACCTTTCTTTTTTCTCTTCTGTAGCTTCTTCTTTATGTAACCATCCTGTTGACAAGCCCTACTCTCTCCTAATGGACATAGAGCATTAGAAGAGCAGGAGCTGTCTGTTCACACGTGTTGGGGAAGAGTTACCTCATTTCCACCATCGCCTCCTGTTCTTTTAAAGTCTGGGTCAAATATTGCACTGCTGTTTGTATTTGTCAATGTCTGCCCATAGTGGATACTGAAGTGACTTACCACTACCAAAAAAATAGTCATATTCAATAATATTAATTAAAAAGGAAAAAGGAAATTGAGCGAAACAGAAAACGTGGGCCAAGACCCAAGGTCTTGTGCTGGGATCCCCTTGCTTAGAACTGTCATGTTCTTGAAGCTGCTGATCCAAGAACTGATGGACTGAAGACAGCGTGTACCCTAACCTGAGGGGGCCACCACGTCCAGGGCCCACAAACGTGATCTCATGGTATCTCCTGTCCTTTCTGTCCCATGAGCCACATTCTGAACAGCCTGATCAGGATTCTCAACCATCAGGTCATAAGATCTGAACAACAATTTCTTTCCTTTTATTAGTTTTATGGGTTGTTTTGGTGTTTGGGGTTTTTTTTTTTAAAAAAAAACAAAAAACAAAAAAAAACAAAACTTGATATTGCATGAATAGAGATGGCTGCAATTTTTTTTCTTTGGAGTGTTCTATTGATACAATGTTTTTATTTTTCAGCTGACCATCTGCCTCTTGAGAGAGAGAGAAGTGGGCATCCTTCCTTTAAATTCAGGAACCACTGTTGTTTTATTTGACTTTTTCTGTTACTTGCATCTCTTATATAAGTTGTTTTGGATTTGGGATTATGTTTTGGGGGTGAAAAATTCCAGTTCTGTTTTTTGTATTGGTTATTCAGCTTACTTTTGGTATCAAAATTATACCAGTTTTAAGCTCACTTGAGTGAAGTTTAAGTCACAAGATTCTGTTTAATATGCTTTCCTCATTTTGGAAACAACCAAAAACTTCCCTTTTTTGTTACGGGATTTTGACCTACAAGTCCTAATCGTGTTTAAAATGTGCCGGTGTTGGGTAGATGACTTTTCTGCCTCTGGGGTTCAATTTCTATTTAAAGATACCTTAAAATAACTTACTGGCCCATCCCTGCCTTTTTATTTGTTGTGAAGCTCTGTACCTTGTGTCCACAGTTTTTTACCAGGACCCATGTGTCTTGGACCATGGGAAATGAACCCCAAACAAGTACATGTCTCTCCTCCCAGATAACAGCATCATTAACAATGGTTCTGATTCACATTGTCTTCTCGGAATTACCTAGGTGGATTTCTCTACAATTTCTGCAAAAAAAACCTGCTGAGAATCAAAGTATTCAGACTTGATCACTGAAAATCACATCCATATCCAAACACATACTTCTGCCAGTTGAGTGAGCCTGTGATTTCTGATGCTGACCTGTTTGTGATGAGTCAGATTCAGGGCTAGATTACTCTAGTTAGCAGTCACTTCTTAGGGGCAGTTTTCATAGTGAAGGGACAATTTTCAAATTCATATGTATTATAGAGCATGGACATATATTTTGTTATCTTTCAGTTTCATTACTTGTTTATAGATAGGCTTATTTCCATCTTTACTTTTGAGCTCCATAGTAGGTAGGTCCTAAAAATACCGTTGGTGACATGAGTTGCATTTAATCAAGATCCTCAGGAGTGTTCCCCTCTGAATAAGAATGGTAACATATGGTTCCTTTAGACAGTGAAATGAAGAAGCAACAGTCCCTGCCTCTTGAATCACTTGATTCCTGGAAAGAGATTATTTAGAGCAATTGGATGAACAAGTTGGCAAGCTGCTTTCTTTACGTAAAAGGAAACTAAATGTAAGTAAAGTCAGATTCATGTGAGCCATTAAATGATCAAAATGTCAGCATCAAAAGCCATCCCCTTCATTCTACAGCGTAATCTGTAAGGACAGAAGTCTGCTAGTAATGTGACCAGTGGAGTGGGAAAGCAATAGCAGTTCCTTACCAGCTGATGCCACAGCATGACATCAGTTTTGCAAGTTAAACATGTAGGTCCTATTGTGTGAGACCACTGTCATCACTACGTATAAGTGACTTTATTCTTAAACTCCCTATTTTGATATTTTAACTTTATTCTATCATTTTAAAAACAAATTCTGCATCAGATTGTAAATACTTTTTGAGCAATATTTAAAACGCAAATTAGGCAGTATTTTAGGTAAGAAATGTATGTCTGTTGTTGTTATTTCCTTTTTTGTTTTTCTGTTTTAGCTCCCAGAGTAGAGGAAGTATAATATTAACCATCTTAATGGGAGGGGTGGGGGAACAGGGTATTATCAGTAGGTCAGCCTCAGTCCAGTTACCTCGGGGAACCTGATCATGTACACTTCTGGCCAGCCAAGTGCCTTGCCATCTCTCTTCCCCTAAGATAGACTGCCATTGATTTGGCATTTCTTTTTCTCCAGTGTTGATAAAACTGGTAGGTTTTCTCCTGGCTGACCAAGTAAGGGAGGTGAAACCATCTTGGGTATAATTACTAGCAATAAAAATTATTGGCTTATCTCAAACAAGATTGTGGGGAAAAAAGCAGGGAGAAGTTAGCCATCTAAACCTATTTCCATTGGTAATAGGCTTTTTGTTCTTCATCAACCTTAAACAAATATTAGTTCTTTTCAGATACAGACTCTGCCTTAATACAAGCATAGTCCAGATGGTGTCCTTGAGATCAGCCCAGCACATGTGTAAAGGAGAGATCCAACTTTCTTAGTCATGGTGCACTGACCTGAAACAGGTCCTCACCCCCAATAATTGACCAAACTTCTTTTCCCCATCAACAGTGCTTATCAAGTTCCTTCTTATTTATTTATTTATTTATTGGCCTGCTGTTGGCCCAGATTATGGGTAAACCCTTCTGGTATCTAACAAACAAATACATGGCTGAGTGTGATGGCTCACACCTGTAATCCCAGCATTTGGGAGGCTGAGGCTGGTGGATTGTTTGATGTCAGGAGTTCAGAAACAGCCTGACCAACATGGTTAAAACCCTGTCTCTACTAAAAATACAAAAATTAGCTAGGCATGGTGGCACGTGCCTGTAATTCCAGCCACTTGGGAGACTGAGGCAGGAGAATCGCATGAACACAGGATGCGGAGGTTGCAGTGAGGCAAGATCGCCCCACTGCACTCCAGCCAGGGCGACAAAGCACAACTCCGTCTCATAAAATAAAATAAAAAACACAAAAGACAAAGGTTTTTTAAGCCACCTTTAAAACCTTTAGTTTCACAACTGACTTATCTTTCCACCTGGAGACTGACAGTGATGGCAGTGTGGCTCACTTCAGAGTTCCTAGTGCTTGAATTTTTAAGAACATGGTATCTAGTTTTTTGCGAAGAATACTGTCTGTCTTTCAGGTCAGTCTCCAGCAAGCAGCTGGCATACCCAGGGCTGGTGAAGGGATTGCTTATATTAATTTTTTTTTTATTTAGCAGGATCTCACTCTGTTGCTTAGACTGAAGTACAGTGGCATAATCACAGCTCACCGCAGCCTTGACATCCTTGGTTCAAGCAATCCTCCCACCTCAGCCTCCTGAGTAGGTAGGACTATAGGCATCAGCAACTATGCCTGGCTAATTTTTTTATTTTTTGTAGAGATGGAGTCTCATGTTGCCCAAGCTGGTCTCAAACTCCCGGCCTCAAGCATTCCTCCCACCTCAGCTGCCTACAATACTGAGATTAAAGCCGTGCCCAGGTTGCATGTGCTAATTTGAGAAGACTAATTGGGAGCCTAGGTGTCTACTCATCTCCCTTTCCTACCTTGCTATTCCTGATTAGTAGCTATATATAAATGAGATGTTTTTGGTTGTCAGTGGAACATCACATGAGGTCAAAAGATTTCACATCAGCCTCAAATCAGTTACTTGTAGGGATGTGAGATGAATAGCCTTTCAGTCCACTATGGAAAGTTTCTTCCAAAGTTATGGCACCTAGACTAGGGAAGGCAAAGGCTATTATAACAAGATTTTGTTCATCCCTGTCCCGCAAAAGAATAAATAAATATGTGTGTTTGAGGGTGGGGAACGGGGAGCAGAATAACATTCCATAAAGAGCTGGGCTTGGACAGGTGCATTGGCTCAACATCTGTAATCCCAGCACTTTGGAAGGCGGAAGTGGAAGGATCACTTGAGGCCTGGAGTTTGAAACCAGTCTAGGAAACATAGCAAGACCCTATCTTTAAAAAAATTTTTAAAGTCAGCTGGGCATGGTGGTGTGTGCCTGTAGTCCTAGCTACTCAGGAGGCTGAGGTGGGAGGATTGCTTGAGCCCAGGAGTTTAAGGCTGCAGTGAGCTAGGATCATGCCACTGCACTCTACCCTGGGCAACAGACCTAGACCCTGTCTCTTAAATAACCAAAAGAGCTGGGCTTAACTGTGAACCATGTGTTTAGAGCTCTGGAGAGTTGCAGTTCTACCTTTTCTTTTTTTCTTATTCACTCATCCATCTTCCCCCAACCCCTCCTTCCCTCTTTCCAAATACTTTATTGTGCATACTGCACCAGGCCTACATTAGGTACCGGGGATTTAGCTATGCACTATGAATTGAACTTGTATAACTCATAAGCACAGCAATGTTGAGAGTGAAAGAAAAGGCAAGCCTTTTCTGTGCTAATTCATTTGCTGAAGATAGATCATATCCTGAAAAGCAAAAAGGATTCTGCTCCCCACCAATCACTTTTTAGTGGCTCCTTGCCTAAAGTTGGCCTTCATTCTGGAGTGTCCTATAGTCTAACAAAATAAGCTATTTCCAAGAAATGAGAGACCAGTTCACTAGGCCTAGGGCTATTCAAACTGCTTTTCTACTACCTTACTGTTGTATAACACAATAAGGTCAACAATTCTGGCATTTGATCTGCTATGAAGGCTATACTTCTAGCGTTAAGAGAAAGGCAGAGGTTCTCATTTCATCCTTAACTCCAGGAGCTCCTAGGAACTAAAAAAGTGAGCTCTTCTCAAATTTTTCTATCTGATAAGACATTCTTGGTTATCTTATTACACCTTTTAAAGTAAAAAGTGGCACAAGGGAGAGTTATGTCTCTGACATTGGTCTTACATACAAGTACATCATAAAAGCCACTAAATATGGTGAGGGAAAACTTGCTATTTAATTCCTTGATGCAAGCTGTGCTAAGTTAAGTGTGCTCTTCATCTTTTCTCTCCTAATGATGGGCCAAATCCAACTCAAACTGAAAGCAGCAAGGTTTTGGGACTTGGCTATATTCAAGCCTTCTCAATTGTATTTCTAGGCTAATTTGCAGAACCACACAACTCACTAATTGGGATTTGTAAGACTGGTTCTGGTTTTTCTTGGTCTGAATTGTGGCATCCAGTCACCATCTGCCCCTTAACCCTGGCTGATCTTGCCAAAGTTCCCTCAGTCTCACACACACAGGCCTCCTGTACCTTAAGTAATGTGAACTTCTAACTAAGCCAACACAGTTGGCTTAGCAACCAGATGAGTGTTCAACTGCTAACATACAGTAAACTTATTTTTTCCCAGAAATTTAAAAAGATGCTGTATTTTTCTAGAAGCACCATCTAGTGGCCAAAGCTCATAGCATTATTTGATAACAGGTATAGGAGATATTCTCAACATAATTTAAAGACTAAAAGAATTTTGGAGGCTTTAAAAGTAACATTTACATGTTAGACAAAACTTTATGATGTCAAATAGAAAGGGTAAAGGTTTGAGAGGAGTTAGAATTTGAACCCTGTTAAACTGGGGCTGCATTCTGCCAATTTGATTGTGAGAATCTGTGACATAGTATCTTCACTTGCCAGTTGAAAATGTGCAAACTACTTTAGATAAAGATAAGCTCCTCATCATGTTGGCTGTGCATCAGTAGCTTAACCACATTTTCTTCTCAAGTGAAAGGCCACCATGCTGCTTTGGGCACTAATGCTCAAGCATAACTTGCTTCAGGAAATCTAGGAGTAAATTTAAAAGCTTGACAATTCAGGTTTGTAGAGAGTACAGAGGACACACAGAAGTGGCTGGCTCTGACAACACAGGAGACAATAAATAGGACTTCTTGGGGGCACAAACACCAGTGTCTTAATTCTCTCAACAAGAACATAGGTTCAGATTCTCATCAGCTTGGCTGAGTGAAGAGCTACATTCTACCTTCCTTCACAGCCAAAGGCAGCATCAGGAACATTTATGATAAACTGTTTATATTTGACCTTTTACTGACATTTGCGAGCACTCTGCATTCCCAGCTTTCCCTTCCCCCTCCAAACTAATACATCATATATCTGTAGAGAAAACTTCTAGTTCTGTATATAATTAACTTCATATTGATCTAGTAGAGAATGAAGTAAAATATTTACCTTCTAGTCTGATCTTCAAGGGCTATAACATGTTCTTTAGGGTTTTTTTGTTTTTTGAATGGAGGATTAGAGAATAACTACTATCCCCATCAAGTATATCCCCTTGCCGTTCCAGAGGCCTCACGAAGCAACCGGTTTTTTAACCACCAGGAGGCACCAGACAATTACGATGCAGAATGCTCAAGTTTCCAGGTCTTGAGTTTGTGATGTGATGCCAAAGTTTAACACAAGTAACTTGGGACAGGCTGAGAATAGTTTCAGGCAAAAAGGGAACTAATTGAACAGCAGGAACAGGCTTTTTTTTTTCTTTTTTTCTCGCTCTGTTGCCCAGGCTAGAGTGCAGTGGCACGATGGCTCACTGCAACCTCCGCCTCCTGGGTTCAAGCGATTCTCCTGCCTCAACCTCCCAAGTAGCTAGAATTACATGCCCGGCTAATTTCTGTATTTTTTAGTAGAGACGGGGTTTCAGCATGTTGGTCAGGCTGGTCTCGAACTCCTGACCTCGTGATCCGCCTGCCTCAGCCTCTCAAAGTGCTGGGATTACATGCGTGAGCCACCGCGCCCAACCGGAACATTCTTAATGAAAAATTCTACACTGTTTAAGAATACTAGGCTCTTTCTGTCACAAGCCACAGTTCTCTAAGGGCCCACAGTAAGTTGTGATGAAGTGGGCTCAGGCCTCTGAAATGGTGGCCAAGGTTTAACAGTGCTTTCGAGGGCCAAGTCTCCAAAGTACTATCACTGAACTGAATGATGTGGTTAAACAAGTTCTGAGGTGTGAGGGCTAGCAGCCCACCATCCCACTTGATTCGGTGTCCCATGAAAAGAACGCTGTATTCCAAACTAACTTACCAGCAATTTTTAAATATTGAAAACCTTAAGACCAAAAAGTGAAAATTCTATTGTCCTCTAATGTTCTGCTCAATTTGCAGCTACTGGACTACAAATGAAATATTGACTCTAAACTGTTTTATCCCTAGCTTTCTACATAACACAACGATGTCCTCATCTGTTAAATAGAAGGAAGTTCTACAGATCTGTATCATTTTACAGATACTATGAACATATACAGTTGTAAACTTCTTAGAAACAGATGAAGATCAGGATCAGAAATTTTTAAAATGTGTATCTGTGAAGTCAATCCTTTGCTATCTTCCCTCCCACTCCCTGTACTGACATGTGAGTAAATGCTTCCCATTTAATTGGAGTTTAAGGTCATAAAACAGGTAGTCAACCCTACCACAAGAATTTTTTACAAGTCAGATGATGACCTGAAAATACTCTTGTTCTCCTAAATCTGAACATTAAAAATGGCTAAAAATGACATTTTAAAGATACAGGTCTGAGCCTACTCTCACAAGCAGTCATATTAAGATGAAAATTTACTATTTGGAGGATTCACAGTGCACTAGTGAAAAAATATCATAAAAGAAAAATTCTTATATCTAAAACCTATATCCCTCGATCACATTCAAATCCTCTTTTCTTCATGTTTCATTTTCAGTAAGTATATTCTTGGTCTTTCTATTGTTTTCTCTAGTTGAAATAGCAGTGCCTAGCCAATCAGGTACCTGTACCTCTTCACAGCTGGAAAAAAGTCACAGAAACAAAAGTTAAGGACAACTTTTTATTGCTACCAGAGGCTTTTATCATCAGTACATGGTTCTGACTGCAATACCTTTTTCAGACTGCAAAGGGAGCTCAGGATCCAGAAGTCGTTAAGAGAACTATAAGTAGGCTGGGGAGGCCGGTGGGGAGTAAGTTCTATTAGAAAATCCTAATAGCTTAACAAAACTAGGGTACTAAATTCAGTTATAACATGTTACAGACTCAAATCACAGAGCTGCCCCAACATCTAGACAGTCTCTCCTACTGATTATAAATGAGTGAAAACTATCAGTTAGAAAAATCTAATTTCAGTTGTTACATACATGTTTCTTTGGTGAGCACCTGGATATATTAACTTTATCACAAATTCTTTTATACAAATGTCAAAAATGCTTTCAACAAATCTAAGTGTCCTAATTACATACCACTTTTAAGCATCACTTTTAAGGTAAACAAAAATGAAAACCATAATTTTAAATTAAAATTTGAAATGACACACAAAATCAACCTGGTAATATGAGAACTTCTTCTGTTGCTGTCTCTGATTAATATGGGACAATTCCAAAGTACCCTTTCATACTAATTGGAACTTGCATCATGGCTGTCACACTGAAATAATTTGTTCAACTGCTAAAAAATAATTTTGGGGTTTCCTATTCGGTGAGAATCAATACAGATCAGCATGCATAAAGTTCAGTAACTTAAATGGAGAAGCAAGCAAAAGCAAAATCAAATCAGGATGCTGAGGGGGAACAGGTTTGCTGGCTATGAATTTTAACTGAATTTTTGATGGGGCAAGCTACGTTACATTATGGCAGAAAAAAAGTGCAACTGGCATACTACAAAGAGGTTTTTTAAGTTTAAAAAAAGTTTGGATCTTTTGGATTTTTTTTTTTTTTTTTTTGGTCCTT